ACTCTTTCACACCATCAAGTGAAGAAAGAGTTTACCCCTTTAGCTATGCTTTCTATGGGTTCCCGTGAACTTCCCCCTAGACTCAAGGTCCTCTCTTCCCAGGTCCCTGGAGGCTCAGTGTTAGAGGTAAGGAGGAACATTGCCTTTCAGTACTCTCCTGACTTTCAGAAATTTTCTTGAGGTGAGAGGGAGGGTCTTGTCTACTAAGGGAGCCCCCTCTCTGGGCAAGGATGTCTGTGGGAGGGGGTGGAAGTTTATAGGGAAAAAGCTTTCCCCACTTCCTGAGAAAGCCTTGGGGGCAGGAACCAGTTCTACTCCAATGTCCTCAGACTTCTTAGGTCTGTGGCTGGGCCTCAGGGCTGGTTCAAGCTGGTTCTCAGGGCTGTTGAGATTGGAAGGAGGGCAAATGTGCCCTTAACCCTGCAATGACCTCTACCCTATGACCTGTTCAGGTCCTGGCAGCAAGGCTAGAAGCCAGTTCCAGCAAGCAGCTAAGATGCGGCCCAGCGGCAGGAGGATGAGACTGCATGCTTTCGTGCCTGCTGGGTCACAGCATGGAGGTGCCGAGAGCCTACTCAGGGCCGTCCTACTCAGGGCCCTGGGCTGACCCCCTTCAGGTCCCTGAGGCCAAGGCCAAAGCAGGGCTGTAAATGACCACGGGGCTGAGACTGGAGTAGTCGTTTGAATCCTAGTAGGACCCCAGACTTAAAATGTGATGCTGAGGGACACCGGGGTATGGAGTTGAGGTGGAGCCAGACGCCCAGGCTGGGGCTTGAAGAGAAGTGCTTGGATTTGAAATCTGAGATGGATGTGGTGCTGGTGCTTTGGGCTGAGCTAGATCCAGACCCAAGAGGAGCCTTGTACAGAGCCAGGTCAAGAACTCAGAGCCCAGTTCAGGATCCGACCCGGGAGAGAGCCCTGTACGACTGGATTCCGAGTCCAGGTGGGACCCGGCAACCGCAGCACCCCCGAGACGCAGCCAGTTGGCCGCGGGATCCGAGCGGGTCTGGGTCAGAGCCGCGACGTCAGAGCTCGACCGAGGCGCTTGACGTCGGAACTGGAGCCTGAGACTCAGGGAGAACCAAGACGCAGCCACAGACAACGACTGAAAGCCAGTGGACCACGGGAACCAGAGGCCGATCGCGGGCCGAACCTGTGCAGGCACTGTCGCATCACATGGAGCTCTGGGTCCATGACTCCGAGAGCGGTCAGGCTGGGCCGGCGCGGCGCGCGGGGCGTGCAACTACAGACGCCAGGGCTCGGGAACCAGAGACCACGCGCTGCAAAGGTGGCCTCGGTAAGAGCCCGAGGCTTGCCTTCGGCGACACTGCTGGCCGGGCTGCAGCAGCCTACCTGAAGTAGTCCATCTTGCAGAAGATCTCCTTGTTCTTGATGTAGCAGCTGTTCTGCTGCCTCAACGACGTTCGGCACACGGAGCACTCGAGGCATCGCACGTGCCAGATGAGGTTGTTGACCTGGGGAGTGGGCGGGGACGGGGGGTCGGCTCAGCACCGCATCTTTCACGCCTGGACCCAGCCTCCCCCGCTCCATTTGCAGACTGGGGCGCTGGAGCTCAGAGGTGCATGTGACGCCCCTATTTTTCTTCTGCAATACTGCAGCTCGGTGACACAGAAATACTAACTGCTAATTTCCGCGCGGAACCCGGGGGCATCGGGAGACCCTAAGACTTGCCCAAAGCCTGCAGGTGAGCAGTGGCAGAGCCAGGATTCTGCACTTCGTGGACGACCTGGCGCGAATCTTGCTTTCCTGCTGTGATCTGGGCTGCAACCCAAACCCCACCAAGACACACACCACCACCTACCCCTGTCTCACCTTGAGTAGATACCGATCCAGGATCTCGAGACCGCAGCTGGAGCAGATATTCTTGCCGGCAGACGGCACGGAAGAGGCAGCAGAGGGCGGTGAGCAGACAGATGGAGTGCTGGGCGTACATGGAGAGGCCCGGCCCTCGTCCTTGTCCAGAGCTCCAGCCAGGGCCTCGGCGTCCGACTGAGCCTGCGGCGGAGGAGAAAGAGCGAGCGAGCGCTGAGCCGGGAACCCAGAGTTGCCCCTGTCTCGGGAGACAAATCTGGTGCTCCAGCGCACCAATTGACAACGAAATCTGCGCGGGGCGCCCCGCCGTAGGCTGGAGGACGGGAATGGAAGGGCCTATTGGAGAGAAAGGGACCGCACAACTTTTAACGCGCGCATCCTGGGTGCCAGGAGCGGTCAAAGCCCACATTCCAGGCCGGAAAACCGAGGCTCAGAGAGGGGCGGCGCCACCGGGAGTCCCGCAGTGCTTAGGCAGTGGTTCGAGGCCGGAAAGACCGGCCAGGCTCCCAGGGCCAGTCCACCCGGGACCAGGAACCAAAGACAGGGCCGAATGGACTCACCATGGCGGGCGGCGCAGTCCCTTCAAGACAGCGGGAGGTCGCTTTGCAGCCGGACCCAGGCTGGGCCATCACCTGGGGGAGGGGGGAGGGAACGCAGGCGGCGGCGGCTGCAGAACTGGCTCCGCGCAGCCTGAGCCCAGCGCCTCCCCGCGCCTGTTATATAAACCGGCGCCGAACAATGAGTCCTAACTTTGTAGTGGGCATTTAAAGCCCTTCCCCACAAAAGCGGTGTCTCTCTAATGAAGCAATTTGAATTTGGATTGGATTTTTTCCCTCTCTCTCCCCCTCTCCCTGCACTTAACCCGTGGCTCTTGAAGTAATCGCTTAGTTCCCTTGCAATCCAAGCCTCTGAGGGGGAAAAAAAAACACGCGCACACACACAAACTACCTGCAATTAGAAATTGTCGTGAATGCCCAAGATAAGAGGTAGCCAGAGTGTCAATTCCAACTGTCAATCAGTGAGATCCATCAGGCCGCCCAAAGAATTGCAAATTTGATTTTTTAATGGTAGTAATTAAAAATCGAATTTTTTTTCTTTCCACCCACCCCCCTTCCTCGCTCCCTTTTCCTCCTCTCGACACAAAATGCAAAAAGGAGAAAAGAGAGAAAGAAAGAAAATAAAAAGGAGATGGAAGGGGGGCGTTGAGGAAAATAAAACCCTAAGCGCCGAGAGCATCGGCCCGCCCGCCCGACGCGCGCCGCAAAATTGAAGCGGAGATATTGACACTGATTCGGGCGCCTTTCGAGGGCTTGTAGGAGGGAAACCGGAGCAAAATGGGGGCTAGATCAAGGGCGAAATGGGACCCAAAAAAGAAAAGAGAGGCTTCTAAGAGGAGGAAAAAGCACCCTTCAGCCCCTCGGCGCGCCCGGGACCAGCCCCGCGTCGGGATTCTCTGCGTTGCGCCCGCACAACCTCTGGCGCATTCGGCGCTATCAGCGCCTATTCAGACGGACAATACCGGCCTCGCCTCCTCTTGATTCGCCTGTGTCTTTGCTAAATCGCTTTTTGAGAAATTCCTACAACATTTGCATAATGTGTTCCCGCTTTCCGCGACCCCCCCGCCTCGCGTTCGCGCGCTCTCACACACTCACACACACTCACAGGCGCA